GGACCCAGGCTGCTCCTAGCCTGTAGGCCCGCTCATAGGCCCTGAGCAGCTGGGGTCCCAGAATGTCCGTGGCTACTCGGGGCCTACGGGTGCAGGTGCCAAACGGATGTTCCCACCCTGTGGCCGCATGCACATGCGCCGGCACCAAGCTGTGGCCTGGGTCCACGCCCCCCAGCCTGGCGCCCACAATGGGCAGGGCTGGCTCCCAGCCTCAGGAGCATGCCCCCTGGCGGCAGGGACACGCCCCTAGCCCAGTGGACACAACACAGGGCATTCTCTGTGCATGAGCTGCAGAGGCAACATCTTTTCTTTTCTTTTTTTAAAAAAAATATATTTTATTGATTTTTTTACAGAGAAGAGGAGAGAGGGATAGACAGTCGGAAACAACAATGAGAGAGAAACATCTATCATTTGCCTCCTGCACACTCCCCACTGAGGATGTACCCCTAACCAAGATACATGCCCTTAACAGGAATCAAACCTGGGACCCTTCAGTCTGCAGGCCAATGCTCTATCCACTGAGCCAAACCAGTTCGAGCTTAAACACCTTTTATGACTGCTCATTGGCTAAGCTCCCTGTACGCCGCCACTTGCAGTGTTCTTGGTAACTTAGGTTATAGGAATCCAAGAAGGTGATCTAAGGTTTTTCCACCACACTCCTGGAGGAAAAAACGAAGGTCCGCTGCTGGAGGGGCTAATAAATGTCATATCCTGCCCTAGCCAGTTTGGCTCAGTGGATAGAGCCAAACCGCAGGGTCCGGGTTCGATTATGGTCAAGGGCATATACCTAGGTTGCAGGCTCCTCCCTGGCCGGGGCCCAGGTCAGGGCTCATGCAGGAGGCAATCAATCAAAGTATCCCTCTCACATTGATGTTTCTCTCTATCTTTCCCTCTCTCTTCCACACTCTCTAAAAAAAATGGAAACATATCCTCAGGTGAGGATTAAAAAATAAATAAATAAATAAATGTCATATCCTATGAAAGACACATCTTGAAAATGCCTAAAGAAAGTTGTCATTTTTTCATGGTGAAGGGACTGGAGTCCGTGTTGATGAAAACACCTTGGCAGCTGCGATGGCTGGCAGTGGTGGCAGCAGCGGGGTGATGGGGCTGGCGCCTTCCCCTGATCAGCCCGGTTGCCTCCTGCAGAGGGAGGCCAGACTGCAGCTTAGGCCCGCTCCCAGGGGAGCGGGCCTAAGCTGTTGGTAGGACATCCCCTGAGGGCTCCCAGACTGTGAGAGGGGGCAGGCTGGGCTGAGGGAACCCCCCCACCCCAGTGCATGAATTTCGTGCACCGGGCCCCTAGTATTATATAACAAACATAATAAAGTGCTAATTTCTTGTTGCAGCAATAAATAGAAAAGTGGTTGGGACCCACCAATATAAGCTGTCATAGATCAGTGTCTATATGTATCAGGGAGTAATACACACACACACACACACACACACATTATAATTATGTTTTCCAAACTTTTGTGATAATAGGAATCCCCCAGAGGACTGATTTTTTTAATAGGCGTCCTCCAGACCTATTGAAATAAACTCTCCAAGGAAAGAGCTTGAGGATCTGTATTTACAACAAATGACTCAGGTGATTCAGATCAGGTAGGTTTAGAAAACATTACAGTCCTCACCACAATCCCCTGAAAATATTATTACTTGTCTTTTATAATTGAGAAAATTAAGGTTAGAGAGATTAATTAACGACTCATAGGACTCCCAAGTCAGGATAAAGCAATCTGACTTCCCCAACTTTTATTCCTTTCCCTGCACAAAGCTTCCTTTGTTCTCTGAGAAAATGATCAGGTTGGCTGTGGAAACATGGAATTAAAATACTTATTATAGAAAAATTCATTCCTATTGCTGCTTAAAAACAATGTTACAGTCTGTTTTAAAGTTCTGGCGAAGAGAATATTGAGTCCTTGAAATAAGAAAGTCTTTATCAGAGGTAGTATGTAAAGATTTATGGGGAACACTGAGGCATTTTTTGTTCCAGGGAAACGTTGAGCATACATTTGAACCAGCAATGAGGGATCCTGTAGCTTCAAAGAGCTACAGAAAAGGACCTGTGCATGTGGAGAAAAATACTCCAGACTAAAGAAAGGAAGTTGTTCTGACAAACATAAGACGTAGGTTGCCACATTCTCGCTTTCTAACTCTTCCTGTATTACTTGTAATTCACAACTCAGAGCCATAGGGAGAAAAAACAAACTTCTTAAAAAAATTTTTAAAGCCTGGCCGGTGTGTTTCAGTGGTTGAACGTCAACCTATGAACCAAGAAGTCACTGGTTCAAGTCCCAGTTAGGGCACGTGCCCGGGTTTCAGGCTGGATCCCCAGTAGGGGGCAAGCAGGAGGCAGCCAATCAATGATTCTCATCATTGATGTTTCTATTTCTCTCTCCCTCTCCCTTCCTCTCTGAAATCAATAAAAACATATATTAAAAAATATGTACAAGAGTAGAGGAAAGAGTATAATAAATTCTTGTGGAGTTATCTCTTAATTTAAACAAATATCAGCACTTTGCCTGTCTTATTTCCCATCTCCTTTATTTTGTGTTTTGTTTGTTTTCTATGGGAATACTTTAAAGCAATTCCTAGACATCATATAATTTCATCAGTAAATATTTCTGTATGTATCTCTAACAGATAAGAGCCTTTTCTTTTCCATTGCCAATTGCAAATGTTATAATGCACAAAATTAATAACAATTTCCTAACATCTCTATTACAGAAATACAACAGTGGTTTCTGTAGTTGGTCCATACATCACATTTATTTGCTGTGCGGTGCTCAGCACAGCCAGGGGTGAACCTGAGGGGGCTGGTGAAGGATTAAAGAAGACAGACAAGAGAATAAAGCTGGTGCTAGGTGAGACACTGCTCTCGGATGGAGAGACAGTGCCACAGCCTGTAAGCAGAGTCTTTATTTTGTAGCCAGATTCCATGAGGCAAAGTAAGGGCGTGGTCAAGATGCTTTAGAATGTTCTCGCGAGTTTCGAATCTACTCAATTCATGCAACTGAACTCTATCAAGCTTTGTTTTGGCAGCACTTGCTGCACCTCCCACAGCCTATATCACTTAGCCACCTGGGACCACAGGTTCGGACCATAGGTCAAGGTTACAACTATAGCCTTTGGTTATAATTGTGCTGGGAGGGCTTCGCCCTCCAAGCTGGGACAACTATAGCCTTTGGTTATAATTTTGCTGGGAGGGCTTCGCCCTGCAAGCTGGGACTTACACATGGCTTTGCCACAAGAGGATCGTGCCCTCTCATTAGTCTGAGGCTTGAAACCGTCCAAACATTGTAGCAGCTCTCAACAATTTGCTATCCTTTTAAATCTCTTTTATTCTATAACTAGAGGCCCGGTGCATGAAATTCATGCACTGGAGAAGGGGGCGGGGTGTCCCTCAGCCCAGCCTGCACCCTCTCCAATCTACACATGGCTTTGCCACAAGAGGACCGTGCTCTCTCATTAGTCTGAGGCTTGAAACCGTCCAAACATTGTAGCAGCTCTCAACAATTTGCTATACTTTTAAATCTCTTTTATTCTATAACTAGAGGCCCAGTGCATGAAATTCATGCACTGGAGAAGGGGGCGGGGTGTCCCTCAGCCCAGCCTGCACCCTCTCCAATCTGGGACCCCTTGGGGGACGTTCGACTGCCAGTTTAAGCCTGATCCCCATGGGAAATTCTGGGTCCCTCCAGTGGACACTGGTATTTAGAGACCACAATAAAGGTGTGAGGGTGCTCATCCCTTTTAGGCTTTTTCAGAGGGTGGAGCTAAATAAGATTACCAGGTGTTTGCTTGACTTCTTGTTGCTGATGAGATAAATTTGAAACTAACAATACCAATATTAGTACTAACAAAAAGACTTTTGAGTGTGGTGAAGATTCCTATCCCAAGAAAGATGTACAGTCAGAAATACTGTGTTTTAAAGTCACTTGAAAGAATTTTTTCTCTTTGTAGTTGTGCCACCAACTTGATATACTACTATGTGTATTTGTTTCAGTTTGATTTAAATTGGGGGGATGACCTTTTTTCTTTTTCTGTCTTTTTCTTTTCAGTTTATAAGATTTGAATAATAAAAACTATAAAATAAGGTACAGTCAGAAATAGCCTACAATGTGGTGTCTCTGTTTCAATATTTTAATATAAGTATGTGTGCATATTGGGATAGCCTCCTCTTTTCTGACACAAAAGGTAGCACACATTGTTCTGTACCTGTTTTTTTTTTTTTTCACTTAACATGTTGACCTGGAGATGACATCACATCAGTTGATAGAGACTTTCTTTATCCCTTTTCACAGCTGCGTTAAGTACTACATTTTGTAAATAGAGCACAGTTTTCTCAGTCAGTCCCCTATTAATGGACATTTGGCTTATTTCTAGATTTTTGCTATAACAAATTATGCCATAGTGAATAGAATTGTATATATGCTGTTTTGTATTTTTACCAGCATATCTATGGAAATTGCAATATTCTTAGAAGAGGAATAGCTTGGTCAAAAGGTAAATACATATGTAATTTTAGTAGATACTGATACCAAACAACCCTTAAAATGTTGTACTATTTTTGAATTCCTAAAGACAATATATGAGATTGTTTCTTTCTGCACAGCCTGACCAACACATATATTGTCTTTATTTTCCCCCACCTGATAGGTGAGCAATGGCTCTTCAGTGCAGTTTTAATTACAGTTCTTTTGTTATGAGCAAGAGGTTAAGGACCAAGTTTACATTTATATTCTGTTTTCCGTAAACTATTCCTTCTTGTCTCTAGCTCATTTTTTTTCTATTTTTTTTTGGGGGGGCGGCAAAAATATTTTAATTGTAGTTTAAGCTACCAAACGTTTTCCTATTGCTTATGCATTTAGTCATAAGTAAGAATGTTTTTCCTACTCCCAGGTTATAGAAAACTTCATCCATACTTTCTTACAGTTCTTATTTGTACCTAAGATTTTAAACACGTTCCCAAAGAGACATTTATGTACACCAAAGTGTCAGTTTACAAATCCAAGTTTATGAAGTAGTGTCAAACATTGCAGTTGTCTACATGAGACATATTTAATAATCTGTCATGTTCACACTTGTCTTCATTCTTCTAAATGGCGTCAGTCTGAAGTCGTCTTGCCTGCATGGTAAAATGTTTTGTTAGTAAAGCAGAAAAGAGTATTTCCGGACTAATGTATGCCCTTTATGAATGAACATATTCAATCATTGAAAACTTTACCTTTCTAAAAGAAGGTAATGTAAACCATTACGATGCAGCCCACAATCCAGGCAATCAAGAGAAGAATAGGGACCAGAATGCGTGATGATGTAGATTCTGTTTAAAAATAAACAAAACAGAACAGATTTGGTAGGTCATTTGGGCATTTTATCTCCTGAAACAAGAGAATAAGAGGGATCTGGTAATAACAAGGGAATAAATACACTCTTTAGTCATACCCATACATGACTATCAGTGTTTTTTCAACAAAAGGTACATGAGACTCAGCTGGGAATTTGGAATAGAAGGCCTGTGTTCACATCATAGGTCTTCCTTTTACAGTTATGTGACCTTGGGCCACTCTGAGCTTGAACTTCCCTATTTGTAAAATATGGATAATGAAACATGTGATATCTATCCCCTGAAGTTGTTTCGAGGATCAAATGAATTTGAATACATGCAAAGGCTTTGTAAACTCTACCCACTGTGCATGTTTAGTGAAGACAGCACACATTCATGTATGTGTGCAATAACACAAAGAGCAGCTGTTTACATACAAACAATTGACAATGACTCTGACGTAATTCCTACCAAACTAAATAATAATCACAACATAAGGAAAGGTATTGAAATTGTTCTTGGCCTTCATAGCTAACTTTACTCTAAAATATCATAGGGGGGAAAGCACTATATTTTATATGATCATTCTTTTTTTAATCTTCACCCAGGATATTTTTCCATTGATTTTTATAGAGAGTGGAAGAGAGAGGGAAAGACAGAGAAACACTGATGTGAGAAAAACACATCATTTGGTTGCCTCCTGCATGAGTCCCTACAAGGGGCTGGGCTGGGGAGAAGTCTGCAACCGAGTTACATGCCCTTGATCAGAATCGAAACCGGGACCTTCGGTCCTCAGGCCAACGCTCTATCCACTGAGCCAAACCAGCTAGAGATATATGAACATTCTTGACTAGAGAAGAGAGATTCAGGACTTTTTAAAAAAAATTGTTCAATATAGCAACCAACACTGAACCAACACACACATAAAAGACATTAGTATAATGACTCCTGTGTCTGCTGTTTGTACCCTGACCAATACAAAACAACTTTTAAAATATCTTTTTAAAATAATATTCACTGCATCTCAATCTTATTCTTTCAAACACACATATCACACAATAGAACTTAAAAACGCACAGAAAGATATCATATAAAATTAATGTTTTGGGTTAAGGACTCATATATTCTTAATTGAAAAGCACAATTAGATCGTATGCCATTGGCTAACAAAGAGGATGCATAGTCTTAGCAATTGCATTTCTTCACTTTATAATTTTCATTACTTTAAAGTGTGGAGTTTTAAAAATACTATTAAAATACAATCATCTGGAAACTTCTAAAGACACGTCTAAAATTAAAAGATATTCTCATTAAAGCAAACTTTCGGAAGTTAAAATAAATATTAATCATTTAAATCTATGTTTCCAGAAATGTTGGAGTCTTTCTTAATTCTCAAAAATTAATTAGGTTTTCCTTGCTTCTCCACCTTCCTGTGACCTTGAACAAAGCATTAACCACTGAATGAAAAACCCTTCTCTTTATCTGCCATGTGGTATTGCTTTAAGGATAAAGTGAACATTAAGACATACCCTTTACTCTTATTTGAATGAAAGCCTTTTATGAATTAAGATGCCATTACAGTGGATGTACATAATAGTACTTTTTTTGAGCTGTTCATATATGTGATTTAGTATTTCTCCCAATTTCAAAGAACTTAAAAGTGAATATTGATATTTTAATTGAGCATTATAACTGTTTTATATAGGGATATTTTAATATAATTCTAAAATGTACATATTATAAAACCTTAATTATTTATAATTCATTGTAAACCAATACAATTGATTGTGCCTTTTAACATTCAAACTATAACTGCATTTTTGTTCTTTTAACACTAATATGTTAAGTTTTACCAAAAATCTGTCCCATTGCTCTGAAATAGGAGTATAGGAACTCAACATAGCACAAATCAGCACAAAACCTTTTTTAAAATATGAAGACCAACTTCAAAATCTTCTTTCTCTGTCCAGGCCTGAGCATGCCCAAGCAATTACACCTGGAAGAATTCTTAAGGTCACAGTGCCCTGGGACAAGACTGTCCAAGTTCAAAACATGATGCCACCACTCTCTACGTGCATGATTGCAGGCAAGTTACAAAATTTTGCTGTCTCTGCTTCCTTATCTGTAAAATTGGAATGATGATAATACTGTATATTTCATGAGACTGTCAGGACTAAAAGCAAGAATTCCTGTAGGCATTTAGAAACTATTTCTTGGACACAGCATATTCAGACCATTTTGTCATATCAGCCTTAATCATCTTTCTTAAATATAAAAAATATTTAAAAACCAGGAAAAAAATTTCAGATGCACAGCATATGAGAGATGACTAAGCCCATTTTAGAGTTAGAAAACAGGCTCAGAGAGGTTGAGGGACTTCCTCAAACTCGCAGGCCATTCATAGCAGCTCTGACACAGAATTCAAATGTCCTTAATTCTGGTCCAGCATGCCACAACACCGCAATCTAATCCCTCAAATCTAGGACCACCCTGGAGAATAACTGGCTTCTAACTCATCTTTCAAAACAAGTGTGAACAAATTCAGCTTTTAAATTTGTTTAATCCTTTCAGAATTGTCCACAAATATGTAGACATGGTCCACACGCTGCACATCGAATACACGTTTTTTGGCCACACTAACATACATGGTTAATGCTCTTTTAGCAGATAGACCACATTCATCAGAATAACCGAGTAACACCAGATACTGGGAAGCAAAATAAGCCAGGGAGCCTGGGTCTTTTTTTTGCCAAGACAGCCTGACGCTGAAATCTTACCTTTTTCAGCCATTCTTCCTGTCGTTGGGTGGGCTGATCAGCGCCAGGCTTACTTGTTACTGTTTTCCAGGGTCACTTTGAACTTTAAATAGAGAGATTATCTGAAGAGGGCAGCAGCTGCCCCTCTCCTGGCTGCCAATTGTGTGCAAGCAGAGCTCCTCTGGCAACTCTTAGCCTGTTGTGATGGAGGAAACAAGGGGCCACATGGCGTAAAGAATGAAACAGGCTGAGTTATCCTAACCCAGAGAGAGGCAGATTTCTAATTCACCCAATGCCTCCAGCCCACGTGAAGAAAACGCTCAGTGAAGGAATGCACAGAAGAAAAGTGGCATTGCAATTAGAGAAATTCTGCCCAAGAGGGAGGGTGATATATGGAAAAAAAGAACTTTGAAGCTGGACAGACGTGACCTCAAATTCTAGCTCTGCTATGTCTGTAAGAAAGGTTGAATTGCTTAACATGGGCATCAGCTTCTTTAATTTTAAAATCAGGAGAGCAATACCTACCCATGAAAAAAGTGTCATAAAAATGAAATGAAAAAGCTCTGTGAAATACAGACAGTTCTTTATTACATTATAGGATGCAAAAGATAAAACACATTAAATGCTGCCCCTTCCTATGAACCATTCTAAAAAGAGAAATTTTAATATAAAGGTACTAGAAGCAAAAACAATAAAAAGATGTTGTATTGCCAAGAATTATCAGAGAGCAGTCATAAGCTTGTTTTTATTAGCCAAAAAATAGGTCATTTCATTTTTAAAAGTCCAACCTGGTTTATGTAACATGACCTAGACTATGCTTGAGATTCTCTTTGGAATAACTTTAATTTTTAGGTTTGGATAGAAAAGTTTTGCCAAATGACCCTGTGACCAACAAATACACCAATACTTCCCAAAACTCCAATATGAGATTGAGAGTGTCCTCCTTTAGAAGGTAAGACTGGTGTGATCAAAGCCATCTCCACAGAGTCCAAGAAGGACGGTTCCCTGCAAATGACCATGCCCTATCATTGATCAAAATCCGCCAATGGGTCTCCATCTCCTCCTAGAGAGTCAAAATCTGAACTCCTTGTTAAGGCACCTAAAAAGCTTCATCTCTACTTTCCCATTTGCAATGATGCTTCAGCCCCTGTGAGTTTCTTGCTGTTATATGAATTCAGGGTATGCTCCCACAGACATAGGTAAGAACACTTGATTTTCTACCTCAAGTCATATAGATTAGAGTATGCAGCCAACAATCTGGTAATTTGATTATGTGACATTTAAGTCAAGTTTATTACATGTCATTTAAGCCAAATTATCATCTCTCTCTCTCTCTTATTTAACATTGGGAAAAAAAATGCCTGGCTATATCCAAATAAGAGGAGAAATGATGTACAATCTATGCAATAAAATTCCTGGTAATGTCGGATATTGTTTTTCAATATTAAATAATTATATATTGAACAAAGACTAATTGAGGACAAGATAGAGACAGAGAAAGAAGAAAAATGGTGATTGATCTCACTTAAATGATACTGAAGTTCTTAACTATCTGGGCTGAAATGAATATACTATCTTAAGGCAAACAGGGAGAGAGAGAGAGAGAAAGAGAAAAAGAGGGAGAGAGTAAAAGAGAGAGAGAGAGAGAGAGAGAGAGAGAGAGAAAACAGTGAGGTACCCTCCAAAGAACAAACATACATATATATGAGGGTAGAATAATTTGCCTAAAATAAATAAAAATAACGATATAAAAAGGCCTGTGTTTCTCAGTAGTTAGAACATCAGCCCATGCACCAAAGGGTTTCCAGTTCCATTTCTGGTCAAGGACATGTACCTGTGTTGCAGGTTTACTCCCTACCCCTTGGTTGGGGCATGTGTAGGAAGTAACTAGTTGATGTGTCTCATATTGATGTTCCTCTCTCTCTCTCTCTCTCTCTCTCTCTCTCTCTCTCTCTCCCTCCCTCCCTCCGTCCCTCCCTCCCTTACGGGTACACTTTCTCTGGAAAGCAATGGGAAAAATATTTTTGGTGAGTATTAAGAAAACAAACAAACAAGAATAAAAAGGTTTCTACATTTTAAATATTTATTACCATTTTAATTACCTTAATATTTTCCTTTTGATATAAAAAGGACTATTATTAACATTGTTGCTATGAGTTTGGATTTTTTAAATATATTTTATTGATTTTTTTACAGAGAGGAAGGGAGAGAGATAGAGAGTTAGAAACATCGATGAGAGAGAAACATCGGTCAGTTGCCTCCTGCACACCTCCTACTGGGGATGTGCCCGCAACCAAGGTACATGCCCTTGACCGGAATCGAACCTGGGACCTTTCAGTCCGCAGGCCGACGCTCTATCCACTGAGCCCATAGCTAACATGCTCAGTTTGGATTTTGACAAGGGACTGCTTTATAACACATCATTTATTTTGCTTAGTTTTCTATAGAAAGAGAGAGGAGGAACAAAACTAATTCAGGGAACATTAATTGCTCAGAAAAGGGTACAATCTAGAATTCATTTCCTTAGTATCCTATCAGTAATTTTTTTAAGTTGTATAATATTATTAAGGAGAAAATGTTTTATTCATTAATAGACTAGTTTCACTTTGAATTCATAAACCCAAAGGCAAATATTTAACCATTTTTGAATTTTCCTCTTAAGGCATACTATTTAGGTATATTTCCTATTTCTACTTTGCATACTTAAAGATTTAGCTATCAAATTTCTTATTATCAAGATGACATTCGATTCTTCTAGGCTACTTCAGGAAAAAAATTGAAATATTTGCCTTCTAGTGCAAGATAAATCAAACTTCTTTACTTTTCAAATATTTTTAACCACCAATTTAGTGTCTGCAATTGTAGTAGGTAGATATGAACATGGTAGATTAAATGGACAAATTCCTATAAAGAGATTAACTACCAAAATGGACCCAAAAAGAAATAGAAAATTTGAATAGACTTATAACAAGAGATCCAAGTCATAAACAAAGAATGTCCCACAAAAAAAGTCCTGGAACAGATGGCGTCACTGGTACCTTCTACCAAACATTTAAAGAGTTAGGACCAATATGTCAAAAGTTCTCACCAAAAATAGAAGAGGAGGAAAGACCTCCCAACTCATTCTATGAAACTAGTACTACCCTAATACCAAATCAAACATATTGTAAGAAAACTACACACCAATCTCTTTATTGAATATAGGTGCAAACATTTCAACAATAAACTAACAAACCAAATTCAGCAACATATAAAAAGCATAATACACCATAACCAAGTGGGATTTATTCCAGGAATGCAAAGTCAGCACAACATTTAAATACCAATTAATGTAATACACAATATTAATAGAATAAAAAACAAAAACCATATGATCATCTCAACAGACACAGAAAAAGCATTTAACAAATTTCAACACCATTTCAAGATAAAAACACTCAACAAATAAGTAATAAAAGGGAACTTCCTCAACCTCATAAAGGGAATCTACAAAAAAAAAAACCATAGCTAACATCATACTTAATGGTGAGAGACTGGATGCTTCCCCCTCCCCCGCAACATCATGAACAAGACAAGGATGTTCACTCTCATACTTTGATTCAATATTGTATGGGAGGTTGTAGCAGGAGATTTAGGCAGAATATGAAGTAAAAGGCATCCAAACTGGAAAAGAAATTAAACTATCTCTATTTTCAGATGACATGATCTTATATATAGAAAATCCTAAAGAATCTACAAAAAAAAAACACAAAAAAATCTGGTAGAGCCAATTTTCAAATTCAGCAAGGTTGCAAGATACAAGTTCAACACACAAAAATCGGTTGTATTTCTACAAACTAGCAATGAACAGTTTTGAAATTAAATTAAGAAACAAAGTCATTTAAGTAGCATCAAGAGCCAGAAAATACTTAGAGATAAATTTAACCAAAAAATGTACAAGACTGAAGATTAACCAAAAAAATCCCTGAAGGGAATTAAAGAAGATATAAATAAATGGAAAGATATTTTGTGTTCACTTAATATTGTTAAAGGTGGCAATACTACCCTAAGCAATATACAGATTTAAAATACTCTTATCTAAGTACCAATAGCCTCTTTTTTTTGCAGAAAGGGAAAAGCTACCCTTAAAATTTATATAAAATTGCAATTGATTCTGAATAATCAAAGCAATCTTAAAAATGAAAAACAAGGTTGGAGGACCCAATCTTACTGATTTCAAAACTTCCTACAAAGCTACAGTAATCAAGAATGTGTGGTATAGGCATAAAGACAGACATAGATTAATGAAATACAATTGAATGTCCAGAAATAAACCCATACACTTACAATCAAGTAATTTCAACAGGTATGCCAAGACAATATTTTAGAAAAAAAACAAAAACACAGACTCTTCAACAAATGATGCTGGGAAGACTAGTTTTCCACATGCAATAGAATGAAGGTGAACCCCCACCTCACACCATATAAAGAAATTAACTCAAAATAGATCAAAGTAAATCAGGCAATGGATTCTTAAATAGAACACCTAAACTATAAGCATTTAAAGAAAAAAAACAGAAAAATTGGCCTTTATTAAAATTTAAAACTTTTGTACATCAAAGGACACCATTAAGAAAGTAAAAAGAAAATAAATGGAATGAGAAAAAATATTTACAAATCATATGTCTGATAATGGTTTAGTATCCAGAACATATATGTAAGAATGTGTGTGTGTGTGTGTGTGTGTGTTTATCTCAACAACAGATAACCAATTTAAAAATAGGCAAAGGATTTGAATAGACATTTATCCAAAGAAGATATACAAGTGGCACATGAAAATACATTCAAGTCAGTAGTCACTAAGGAAATACAAATCAAAACCACAATAAGCTACCACTTTATCACCACTAAGATTGCTATAATAAAGACAGATAATAACAAGTGTCAACAAAGATATGGATAAATTAGAAAATTTATATAGCATTGGTAAGAATTTAAAATGATACAGCCATTTTGAAAAAACAGTTTTTCAGTTCCTCAAAATATTAAATATAGAATTGCCTTATAACCCAGAAATTCCATTCTTAGGTGTATATCCAAGGAATTGAAAACAGATGTTCAAACAAAAACTATACACATATGT